GGGCTGCAGCATGAGGCTGGAAGTGGGGCAGAGGCAGGGGTTCACAGCTGGTGAACTCGAACAAGAAGCCATTTCAGCTCCTCTCTCAAAGGCCAGAGAAATGTCGCACCTCATCCTCGTTCCCTTTCAGTGACTGACTGAGCTTTTCATTTCAGGACAGAGACACGCTGGATTTCAGAGGGTTTCCATGAGTCGGTGAGAAACACTGGTACATCATGCACTATACTCCGCACCTTTCAACTTCTGCAACAAACGAGGCGAGGGTCCTCCTACAACCAGCCTCCTTCACTACAAGATGCAGCCCCTTAGCATGGTCTATACTGTGCACGAAATGAGAGGGGGCCCTATGGCATGTGATCGTGTGATTGGAGGCAGTTTTACGATGCATAGGCACAAGGGGGCTGAATGAAGGTGCCTGGGCAACCTTCAAGTGTGGCATTTCCTAACTTTTCAGGGCTTGTCTTTGCAAGCTTAGTAATAGCCCTTTAACAGCAGCTCCTGTGCCTGTAAGTTCCAATTAAAAAACAAACTTGAAAAAACAGAAATTCCGTCATAGCGACACCCACCAGGGTCGTCAGCAGGGCTGGAACCGTTAGATCCACCATTCAGACCTCTGCCACTTGAGCTAACAGAGTGACTGACGGCAATAGCAGATTGCGGTGCTCTGGGGGGGAGGAACACACACACACACACACACACACACACACACACACTTCACAGGTATTTGCTGACAGCAGAGTAATGTCAAGACTCAGGGATTTTGGGTTCCATTCCAGGTTCTGGAAGGAAGTGTGTCCTAGTGGTCACATCATGGTTCCACTCCTGTTCCCTCCATACCTGACCCCTTCTGCCCCATCCCCTTAAGTCTGTCCCTCTCCTTATCCTCTCTCTCCCCACCACACCACCCCTTGTCCCAGTCATCCCCCACTCCTCTCAGTTCCTTGTACTAAACCCAGTCCTCTCACCGAGCCAGCCCAGTCTCCACCTCCCTCCCCGGCCAGGCTCCTCACTCCTCTAAAGCACAGGGGCGCTAGAACTGCTCCGTTAAATGGTTAATAGTATTGAACACTGGAAAAACAACACATTTTCCCCTCGCCGCATTCTCAGAAACAGCTGGACCATTTTTGCTCAAACTTTCCAAAGTTCTGAAGCCTGAGGCAAAATTATAAGCAACTGAAAACAGGGTCTTGGAATGGGAAGTGTCAAGCAGCTTTAAGCATAGGGGGCCCTACCAGCTCGGCCTACGATTATTTCTATAGCCCGGAACGTTTTCTTATCTAATCAATCCCCACAACACCCCCTGAAGTAGGGCGGCATGTGGAGAGAGGTGACGTGACTTCCTGAGTACACAAAACGAGTCGGTGGCAGAGCTGTTTGAGGACACAGCTACTAAATACCTAGATAAGTTAGAACGCAGTGTTCCCAGCATTGCAGGCGACACTCTCTTGCCTCCAGTGGAAAGGCCCCATTTAATGCACTAGGACCGGTTCTGATTTCAGTCTCTATGAATTGTGCAAACTCAGCAGGGTGCTCGCATGGCCCCTGGAGCGCCCACGTTCAGGCTTTCCTGCCCTTTCCCCGGTCGCTCTGCAGTCTGTGAGCTTAGGCTGAGGCTTCAGACCATGTCCCCTTCACCGTTTCCTCTGCCCTTGCTTTGTGTAGTGTTGAGAGGCCTCTGGAGAAGAAAGCTAGTGACCTGCTACCAGGGCTGACGAGAGGGGGGGGGAAGCTGGTACAAATTACCGGGGCCCAGCAGTCCGGAAGGGGGCCCGGGGCCCGGCTTCCCCCCCGGCTCGTTGGCCCTGTTTAGCCAGTCCGCCCTTGCTGAGGGGGCCGAAAATTTTTTTCACCGGGGCCTGACCCCACTCTCGGCGGCCCTGCCGCTACCCAGCTACTGTAAACGGTTCTGTATATTTACAACGGCAGCCCCCATAATGGTCTATAAATCAAAGCAAACACCGTTCCTGCTGAGGCTTTAAACCCAGGCCAGCTAAGGGACGTGTGTGCACAGACATCTGCTAATCCAACATTATTTTTTTGCTTGAGCATCCTCTGCTGGCCCGTTGCTGCACTGGCAGTGGTGCTAGTGCCGGGGGGAGCCGCTGAGCGATTCCTTCGGCTTGCTACGGGGTCTGCCGCTGTCCTGGGGCAGAGGGGCGAGTTCTGTCTTGGGAAGGACCGATCAGGTCAGAGCTGGCTTCAGGCCCAGGATCCTGCCGCGGAGCAGACTGGGATAGCAATGTGCCTTAAAAGGAAATATCCATTCTGGGGAAAGGGCAACGGGCTTGAGTGCTGCTGAGGTTTGTGGAGGGCAAGGGAGGCGGAGAGGATGGTCCTGGGGAGGCCAAAAAAAAAGGGAGAGAGAGTCAGAAACAGGAGACAAAGTGGAAAGCAGGGCGGGGCGCAGGCTCCCAGGGGGGTGGGGCGCAGAGGGCAGGCTCTCAGCGGGGTGGGGCGCAGAGGGCAGTCTCTGAGTGGGGCAGGGCACATGCAGAGGGCAGGCTCCCAGCGGGGTGGGGCGCAGAGGGCAGGCTCTGAGCGGGGATGGGCACAGAGGGCAGGCTCCCAGCGGGGCAGGGCACAGAGGGCAGGCTCCCAGTGGGGATGGGCACAGAGGGCAGGCTCCCAGCGGGGCGGGGCACAGAGGGCAGGCTCCCAGCGGGGCGGGGC